AAGTTGGATTTTCATTGAAGAATAAAATTATCGTAGAAAAAAGATAAAAGGAGAATAGAAGAGAGAATTAGAAAGGGAGAGAGGTTCAAGGTCCTCCATGTCCTATAAGTTTGATTGGTTTCCGAATACCTCTTTAACACTCAAAGCTGCATTAAAGGGTGAATAAAAATCGACACATCGAACACTCACCCTAATTGCACCACCTCTAAAATCTCTATCTAGCTTTGTTAAAATATCACTGTTAATCCCTATCTCAACATTGAATGTTGTGACCAACTCCAACAACTTGATCACTTACCTAATTAGAATGTAGTATTTATTCGAAAGATTTTTAACTTTTTGAAAATATATGTTCAAACATCTTTATATACGACATGCTCAAACTCGAGACTTCTAAAAATAAAAATCATCCCTTTAGCCACTTAGCTCGCTTGGTTCGTGCAAAGTTTGTCTCTTTTTTGAATTAATCATTAGTATCTGATTTATTGACCGACTAATCCAGATCGGATACTGCAGAGACAATGACGACCCTCCCAATCCAAATTGCTCCATTCATAAACGCTAGGGTCCGAACTCCTGACCTTACTTAAGGAATCTAGTGTCTCATCCCATTCAATATAACTATATAATAGCAATATCATTTTAAATTCATTTGTTTAAAAATTAATTCATTACAATTACCAGGTATTAATATAAATATTTTGTATTAATGCCAATCGAATCAACTAATATTTTCATATATATTATTTTATTACAAAAAAAAAGGAGAAGCTACCATCACACATATCAAGTTCGTTAAACTTATCTAGTTCAGTTAAATTGATCCTTGTATTGTTCCTTTGTATTGTTCCTTTGTGGAGGGAACTGTAATTTCCTTTAGAGTTAATTGCATCATATGTCCTTAAAGTATGATCTTTATTTTAAATTGGTCTCTAAATTTTTAAATATTCTAATTTTATTCCTAAAGTATAACTATCATTCTAAATTACTTCTCAAACTTTTGAATATTTCAATTTCATCCTCAAACTATGACATGCATTCTAAATTGATCCCCAAACTTTTTAGCATTACAATTTCAGCCCAAACTATACGTATATACTAATCACATCCCTTGTTAGTAAAATCGTTAGGCCAAGTTATATCATTATATGTTTGAAAAAAATAAAATTTAAGTTAAATTATGGTTGAAACTAATTACGTATTTGGATGAATTTGGGGATGAACTTGGAACATTCAAAAGTTTAGGGATCAATTTAGAAAGAGGTCGTAGTTTAGGGATAAAATTAGAATGATAAAAAGTTTAAGAACTAATTTAGAATCAGAGTCATAGTTTAGGGATGAAATTGGAATATTCAAAAGTTTAAGGACCAACTCAAAATAAAGGTTATAGTTTGGGGTCATAATGTTGCAATTAACTCTTTCTTTTAATTATAAGCGTCTAAGTAAAAGTTAATCTCGTCGAATCTTAAAAATGATGAATTCTCATCTAATTCGAATACTAATGTTCACTAACATGAAAGGTATAAAAGTATAGATTCGTATCAATAGTATCAAATTTGAAGTTGAAGGAAAAAAACTAATAGCCTCTCTCTATTTAAACCATGGTCCTGCACTTCACAAGGGCAAATTACAATGTTTCCCTATCCTGCACTTCCATCTATGCACAACGTGAGTAAAGGATGCAGAAGGACCAGAGTCAGAGGCAGCCCCTGGTTGCTGAAGTCTGTACCCGTCTCCGACACCGTTGAAATCTCCGATTTCCATTTGGAAACCCTATTCGGGAGCTGTGATGTCAATGTCGATGGTCGCCTCAGTAGGGCAGAACTCAAGGAGGCCTTGAGAACCCTCGGTTCACGTTTCCCGGCCACTCGAGCTGCTAGAGCACTTCATTATGCCGACAGATGGGTGTACAAGTGAGGAGTTGGATGCTCTGGTTGAATATGTAGTACAACGTCGTTATAAAGTTGGCATAGAGTAAGCTTAAGTTTGGTCCATACATTTGGTGTCAACAAAGAATTCAATGGGATCTGGGAACTAATGCCAGAAAGTGGAATGGAAGGGTAAAAACTACATGTCTATATGTATATTATCCACTTCATGTCTGGTTAAGTTCACTTTGTGTACTTGAAATTATAAGGGTAAATTACACTTTTAGTACTTAAACTATTATTTTTGTCTCGTTTTGCTATCAAAACTTTCATTTTATTCAAAATCATACCAACGTTTACTTTTTGTTTTGTTTTGGTACATCGCTGTTAAAAGTTTAACGAAACTGTTGTTGTTGTACGTGACACTTGTAAAGTAAATTACATCATTCATCACTCAACTATTTTTTCAACCCTATTTTGATCATTGAAGTTTAATTTTTTTTTTAAGTTTAACTACTTAACTTTCAAATTACACCTAATTTAATCACCTAACTTTCAGATTTGGTTTTTTTATTTTAATTATATATTAATAAAATAATAATAAAAATGTCATGTCACATATTAGTGATTAAAACAAGAGCAATTTGAAAGTTGAGTAATTAAATTGAAAATATTTAAACTTTAGTAACCAAATTAAGAGTAAGAAGATAGTTGTGTGATGAATGATGTAATTTACCCATAAAAGATACCACCTACAACAGTTCCATTAAGTGGGTACAAAATAAAATCTAAACTAAACGTTAGATATGATTTTGAATAAAAAAATTAGGTACTAAAACAGAATAAAAGTAATAGTTTAGGTACTAAACGTGTAGTTTACCCAAATTTTAAATAAGTTATTTTTAGGGTAAATATAAGTTTAGTACCCCAACTATTTTTTGTTTCATTTTGATCATTCAACTATTTTTTTACCAAACGTTATATTTTGCTATTATTTTAGTCACTCACAGTAAAAAAATTAATTGTGATATCGATGTATCACATTAAGGCAATAACATATCATTGAAAAAAATTTAAAAATAACATGCCAGCAGTTTTCTTACTTTTTAATGGTAATTGACCAAAATAAAATCAAAACGTAACGTTATGCATAATTTTGAAATGAAAAATAATTGGGTGACTAAAATAAACTAAAAGTGATAGTTGAAGTACTAAAGGTGTACTTTACCCTTACTTTTTATTGCACTTAACAACTTAGTAACCTAATCAAATATAACATTATTTCTACTTTATGCTTTATTTTCTTCATGAGTTACTAATTTTTTCTGTTATGATCAAAGATATTTTAACTCATTGATTCTTTAAGTTTTTGAAATTTAATTGCTTTTTATGTTTTTGAACAATACGACGCAATTAAAAAATAATATTATTTAGAGTTTTTTAAATTATTAATATTTGTTATGCATACATATTTCATAGATGTAACTGTTTAAATTCATATCATTTAAAAAAATAACATTATATTTTACCACGAAGACTAATTAAATAAAATTATCATAGAAGATAAGTAAACATATTTGATTGGTTGGACAAGCTGTTTTTTTCTTTCCCCCTTATATTCTCTTAAGATGTGTTTGGTTTAAGTCATCTCACATTACCGGGGGAATGGAATATCATTCCCCCATTTGGTTGGCAAACATTCTCAGCCCCCGATAATATTTTATTCTCAACAGTGGTATTTTTGGGGTATATTACCGGGAATGTGTTTACCCCCTTCTCTTAGGTATTATTGGATTACCAGCGTTTTTGACTAAAATGCCATTAAATTTTTTTTCAAAAATATCATTCTTCTGTCGTTGAATAAAAAAAATTCTACGAAGGTTAAATTACAAATTTATCCTTAAACTATTTTAGATTTACAAAAAAAAATCATAATTAGAATTTTATATAAAGTTCAGGGGTTAAAATAAAATTTTGTCCTTTCGTTAAACCTATTTATCTTTTCAATTTTATAAAAAATTATATAAATTTTATGAATTTAAAATTTTTAAAGAAAATATAAAAATTAATTATAGTAAAATTATAGTAGAATTCAACTTGTTAAAAAAATAAATATATAATAAGGACAATTTGATAAAATATACATTCCAATAATCATTTATTCCTTTAACCAAACACTGTAATTTTACATTCCTGCTAAAAGAACCAAACACAAAATACAACATTCCCAGTAATCTTATTCCTACCGGTAAACCTATCCCCGCTGATAATCTTATATTTCGTGAACCAAACGCACCCTTAGGTTATGAGTTCTAAACCCACTATGAGCACCCTTCTTTCCCTTAGAATCCTCATTCCCCAACATAAAGATTTGAATTCATACAAAATAGGACAACATAAACATCCTTAACCACGCAATCATTTATAGGGGTGTAAATGACATAGCGTTTGGTGAACTATTCGTGAACCGTTTATATAATATAAATTTATATTCGTTTCTTAAGTTAAATAAACGAGTATGGACAAAATTATTTATGTTTATTTGATAAACGAATGAACATGAATAGGGGCGTGTTCATTTTGTTTATATTCACGAACAAGCTCATTTATCGACTCATTCATTTATGTTCAAGAACAAGCTCGTTTACATATTTCTTCTTTTCTTTTTATTTTTTTATATTTTAAATATCGATGAAGGTAAGGACCAACATAAATACATGGTAAAAGTTAAAATTTAAACTATGAATGGGGAATTTAAGCATTAGTGGCATAATTTTATCATTTTTCTTTAGTTTACAAATGGAAAGATAAAATTGAAAATTAAACATATAAACGAACATGAACGCGAAACGAAACGCATATATTGGTGAACATTAAATGAACACGTTCGTGAACATATAAACAAATTTGTTCACGAATAATAAATAAATGAACATGAACAACTTCAAAAATAAATAAACGAACACGAATACAATATTAAAAATTTAAGCGAACACGGATCGAATATGAATACCTTAAAAAATAAACAAACATAAATACAATCTTATTCGTTCAAGTTCGGCTAATTTAAACATTTAAAACTCATTTAATAGATCTCCTCTACCTTTCCTTAGTTCGTTGAGATAACAACCCTCCCATACATAATTCTATATGGTAAGAGTCCCAACCTTAAAACAACTGCAAAGCAGTGCTGTTTCCATGGATCGTTGGAATGGTGTGTTCAAGGTTCAATTACACCCAAACGCTGAAAATTACTACAGAATCGCAACATCTCTCTGCTTTTCACTTTCCTTCAGATCCCTAATCGTAAGTAATCCTTTATCCCTCTTTTCAATTATTTTTTCTTGAAAAAAGCATTGTTTGGAAACCAGTGTCTTACAATGATACCATCGGAATTAGGCGCCTTCGGCGAATGCCATATTCTTCAACGGAGACAGAGTCCAAGGTACCAGAAACCCAGTGGTGGAGAGACTATCGGATCCGCAGAACATAGCTGAGGTTTTGGCTTCTAAATTCGGTGGCTCTGTTAATGTTTGGATCATCGAGGCTTCCATTTTCAACGGGCCGTTTGCCGTTTATAAGGATTTTATTCCGTCGGTGAATGGATATGGGAGCCTAATCGTATTCTCCTGTGGATTCCCTGCCTCTGCCACAACTGTTTCGCTCTTATCAAATTGCCTTCAACATGTATGTTTGATGAAAAACGATTTGGTTAAATTGTAGTTTTGGTCCTCGAATTTTGAATTTAGGATTTAGTCTTACTCCTATCAAATTGCCTTGAACATGAATGCTTGATGAAAAGTAAATTGGTCAAATTTAGTTTTAGTCCTTTTTCTATACTCAAAATTTGGATTTTGTCTTTGTACTTTAATTTAGAATACTGCCTCACCTCTGTCAAATTACTGATGAAAAGCAAATTGGTAAAATTGTAGTTTTGGTCCTTCTTCTATATTCAAATTTGGGATTTAGTCTTTCTAGTTGGATGAATTTGCACAAGCTTGCGAGTATGAGTTTTTTACTTGGATTGTTGGTGATAGTTCCCATGTACTATAACTTGTATCATTGTTGCAGGCAAAAAATGCAATTTCAAGTGAACCGAAGAAACCAAGCTCCGTTAGTTTATCTTCATTACAACCACCCAAAACCTTAATTATTGGTTTTAGCAAGGGTGGTACTGCAGTTAACCAGCTTGTTACCGAACTCGGTTCCTTGGAAGACGATGCCCCGGTAAATCCTAGCCGTGTAAGAGAACAGCAGCCTGGGGTTGATGAATTATCTGTTGTCCAAGAAGAGATTCAGATGATTCCGACCACGAAGGAAAGCTTATTAAACAGCATCACGGAGATTCATTACGTGGATGTGGGCTTAAACTCTTCTGGCGCATACATCACTGACAAAAACGTGATTGAAAGTATATCGAAGCGCCTCTTGGGTGGAGGAGCTCAGGGGATTCGTTTTGTGCTGCACGGAACTCCGAGGCAATGGTGCGACAGCAGGCGGACTTGGATACGAGACGAAAAGGAAAGATTGTATCGTTTGCTTGAATCAGAAGCTCAGAGAAGTGGTGGCAGATTGAAGGTGTATGAGAGATTTTATTTCGCCGATAGGACTCCTGATATGCAGATGCATTTTGAAGTTATTCAGAAATGGATGTTAGTTGATTGCATAGTGTGCACGTTTCTCTGTTGTTTATGATCATGAGAAGATGGGGTGTTGGTCTCTTTATGTTTGTTTCTCCTTATGCGTCCTTTTTGCTCTGTAAATATAAGAAGAAATACCTAACTTCACGTCGCCATTGCCGGTGCTGCCTGAATTTTGTTGTTTGTGGCTCATCGAGGAAGACAAGGGTAGGGATGGGCACAAGATCCGAACTCTATAGGTTTCGACTCAATCCAACCTATTAGGGTTCAGGGTTTTTTTTTTAAAAAAAAGAAATTAAAGTTTGTGTCGGGTCAGTTCATTTTTTAGATGATAAGTTCGGGTTCAAGTTTAGAATGGAAAATACCCGACTTGACCCGAAAAATAATATAATTATATATTATATATTTAAGGATAATTACAATAATGTCATTCTTTATAATTTTTTCCAATTAGATCCTTATTTTATTAAAAAATTAATAATTTTATATTATTTGAGGTAGAATCAAAATCGGATTTTATCTCAAAAGTTAGATCAAGTCTTGGGTTGAGTCGGATTTCGGAGGGTATAAAATTTTTAGATCGAGAGGGCTGAAAATTCAATCCAACCCGACTTATACCCATCCCCGTACAAAGGTGAGAGCCAAAGCTTAAAAGAAAACACGCTACAACGGAGAGCAAACCCTTATTTGATATCAAAATCAAAACGCATTAAAACCTTTTATTCAAGATAAAATTCGTTAGTTTTATTAAAAATATAAAAATATTCAAATTACAATGATAGTTTATAATCATAATCATAAATTAAAACACATAATAAGAATATTTTCCTATAATCATTAACACAAGAAACTAATAACTTAATATCACATAATGACCATATAAAGAAAAGATTAAATACATAACCAAATAAACTCGAATAAGAGGTAAATACGAACAGATCTGATCGCATCGACAAACTAACTAAGCTATTAAAAGATCATCGACAAATTATAAATTAGAATTGAGCGACATGAGAAAACTATTTACGTACACAAATCGCATATCTAAAACTAATCTGATGGTCAAAAAGAGAGAAAATCAGCATGATAACAAATGAGCGATATCTTGATCAGTTGTGGCGATATCAAATTCAACAATGAGAAAAATGATAAACGAAAATAATGATCAAACAACCGAAAATATGTTAAATAACAAAGAAAATGTGTCATAAAGATAGATTAAATGTGTCGTAAATGCAGGGTTATTAACAATTAAAAAATAAGAAAGAAACAAAGAAACGAATAAAAAAATGATTATATATGGTCGATAACCAATATTAAAGTTGGTGTCATCGTCGATTATAAGAATAAAAGAAAAAAATTCTAACAATGACACAAGCAAAAAAGAGAAAACTAGGTTTAGAATCCTAAAAATGTATTAAAACTTCAATGATTGTAATTTAATCTATACAATAACCTTGAATAAAATTAAAGAAAAACAATATTTAGGATAAGTTATTTTTTTGTCATTCACCACAGTAATTAATATTGTTTTTTATTATATTTTGATTACTTGTCATTAAAAAATTTAATGATGATATTAATGTGATATTATCTTATGATGATATATCAGTATTACTATTAATATTTTAACAGCAGATGATCTAAGTGTAATGTTAAGTATAATTTTAAAAAAAATTATATAATTAAAATAAATACTAAATAATAGGTGAGTGATCAAATAGTTTATCTTTATATTTAAGGTATTTTTTTTAAATTCGTGCATAATTCAAATGGTTTTTCTGTTCAAAATCTAATCCCCGAAGGTGCACAAAAGAGCGGCGGTGATAGATGAGAGCTAAAGAACACTGGAAGTTGCACTCGCTGTGGCGTCCGGTAGAGAGAAAATGCATGTTCCTTCTCCAACAAAAGAACACAAAAGCTACTCTCCTCCAAATCCACGCTTTCATGCTCCGTCACTCCATCGAAACCAACCTTAATCTCTTCACTAAGTTCATCACCTTAATCTCTTCACTAAGTTCATCACAGCCTGCGGTTGTATTTCCTCTCTTTCCGCCATTAAACACGCCCGCCGCCTGTTCGACGTTAGGCCTCATCGAAACGACACACCTCTTTGCAATTCTATGATCAAAGCGCATCTGGGTGTCAACCAGTTCATCCAATCTTTCACTCTTTACAGAGATCTTAGAAAGATGGGGAGGGTTTGTTCCCAACAATATCACGTTTTTGACCCTAGCTAAGTCTTGTGCCTTAAATATGGCTATCTGGGAGAGTTTACAGATACATAATCACGTGGTTAAATTTGGGTTTAGCTTGGATTTGTATGTTTCGACGACTTTGCTTGATATGTATGCGAAACTAGGAACCATGGGTTCAGCAAGAAAGGTTTTTGAAGAAATGCCTGAGAGAAGTGTAGTTTCGTGGACAGCTCTGATTTGTGGCTATGCTAAAGCTGGGGATATGGAGAGCAAAAAAGATTTGGATGAAATGTCAGAGAAGGGGGATTCTGCCTTATACAATGCTATGATCGACGGATATGTTAAGTTGGGTGATTTGGATTCGGCTCGAAGTTTGTTTGATAAAATGCCGGATAGGAATGTGATTTCGTGGACTAGTATGATCAATGGATATTGCAATGGTGGTGATGTTGTGTCTGCTAGGGTCTTATTTGATTCCATGCCTGAAAAAAATCTAGTATCTTGGAATGCAATGATCTCCGGGTACTGTCAGAATAGGCAACCTCATGAAGCGTTGAAATTGTTTAACGAAATGCAGTCAACGACGTTGTTCGAGCCAGATAAAGTAACCATTGTGAGCATTCTGCCACCTATTGCGGATTTGGGTGCTCTTGAGTTGGGTGAGTGGGTTCACCATTTTGTTCGAAGGAAGAAGCTTGATAGAGCAACCAATGTATGCACTGCTCTTGTTGATATGTATGCAAAATGTGGAGAGATAAATAAAGCGAAAAAAGTTTTCGATGAGATGCCAGAAAAGGAAATAGCTTCATGGAATGCTTTAATAAATGGATATGCAGTCAACGGATGTGCCAAAGAGGCACTGGAGGTATTTTTGGAAATGCAGACTCGAAGAATTATGCCGAATGATGTGACCATGATCGCTGTCTTGTCCGCTTGTAACCATGGCGGTCTGGTGAAGGAAGGTAAGAGATGGTTTAAAGAGATGGCGGAATTTAGGCTCATCCCGAAAATCGAGCATTATGGTTGTATGGTTGATCTGTTAGGGAGGGCAGGATGTGTGGAGGAAGCTGAGAAGTTGATAGAAAGTATGCCCTATGAGGCCAATGTAATTATTCTCACTTCACTTCAATTTGCATATTGGTCCTTGAATAATGTTGAAAAAGCTGAGTGTTTGTTGAGTAAGTTGGTCCATATGGAGCCAACTAATCATGGGAGTTATGTTATGTTACGGAATCTGTACGCCGCTGAGAAAAGATGGGAAGATGTGGAAGGAATTCGGAGAGAGATGAGAAGGAACGGGGCTCGAAAAGAGGCCGGCTGTAGTGTTATTGAGATTGACAGCAGGGTTTCGTAGTTTGTATCCGGAGATAAACTGCACCCTAAATGGGAAACCATAGAGTCAGTGGTGCTGCAGTTGCGGATGCACACGAGGGGGCAGTCGGACATGGAAGCTGCACACGAGTGATGCATGATATTTGAGCTCTCGATTATGCCGGTTGTGTTAAATTTGGATCGATCTAATTCCCTTCTGGTTGATTTTTAATTCGAGTCACTCGGGATAATTCAACTTGAACATTCAAATTATTTGGTTTCAAAATAATTTCAAGTTCTCATACGGTCATTTGTAACTACATAGAAGACATTTTTTCAATGAATACAGAGACAAAAGATGAAGTACAGGATTTTACATCAAGATCTCATTAAATTTACCCAAACCTAAAAGCAGATTCCAATAAGTAACAAATTGTGAGACTAAAGGGGGAAATATCATGAACTCTTTACCATTACTATCCCTACCTACAACACCTTTAAGACGTAATGAACCTCCAACAATTATCCACGTTTTGTTGCAACATAATGGAAACCAAGACTACCCTTGCTAGATGAAGAATAAAATTAGGGTACCAAAATACATAGATTCTGACTAGGGCGGTAAAAAGTCGAGATTAAGTATTCTAGAGTCGTTCGAAAAGTTTAAAACTAAGTTTGACTCGAAAACTCGCAAACTTAAAATTATCAAATTTAACTCAAACATAAAATTAAAAATTAAAACTCAACTCAATTAAAAAAAACTCGCAAACATAAATTTTTATAGGAGGTGATTGCAATACATAATGTCATAATCATTTTCAGTCACGTAAGCCAAAGATGCATTTAACTTGAGGAAGAGTATTTACTAAGACTCAATCGACTGGATTCGCCTTTTTAACTTGCCCGACCGAAAAGAGTATCACTTCTCTAAATAATTTCTTTGGGAGCTCTATTTTACAATAAGTATTATTTTGGATGGACAGGGATGGCAATGGGTTTGGTCAATCCGACCCGATCCGAAAAATATATATCTTCCACCCGACTCAACCTGAAAAGCATATTTCTTCCACCAAAACTCAACTCGACCTATTTTTTAGAGTATAAATCTGACCGACCTGACCCAACCTGATATAATAAGGACTTAATTAAAAAATTATATAAAGAGGGGTATTATAGCAATTGTTCATAAATTTTGAAAAATTACACTATTACTCTCAAGTCGAGTCAAAATCTTTCACCCTCCACACGAACCTAAACCGACCTCACCCCTATATAAATATGACCCGACCCGACCCGAATCCAAATTTCTTTTTAAAAAATCCACTCTATTGGTTGGGTCGGATCGGAATCCGTTAGTTTCGGATTAAATTGTCATCCCATGGATGGAGAGATAATAAAGTCATGTATTGAAAGTAGAGGATTAAATTTTAAATGTATAAAAGTACGGGGAGAAGTATGAAGTATACCAAAGAAAAGACGCTTAAAGTAACCGCTAAAGTTTGCCAGGTCATCGATCTGAGTCAATACTTGTTTTCATCTAAACCCTCCATCGTATATCATCAACGGCCACTGTTCATCGTTAAGATTTTCTCGCGGATCACAATCTTCCCACTTCCCCCCTATAAATTCCTCACAATCTTATAACGCTCCACAAATTTCTAATTGAATTATCCAAATCACTTGCTCTTTTATTGAAGATGTCAGAAGAGAAAGGGAGGTAAGGGGCTGGGGAAGGGAGGAGCGAAGCGCCACCGTAAGGTCCTACGCGATAACATCCAGGGTATCACAAAGCCGGCGATTCGACGCCTTGCTCGCAGGGGAGGAGTGAAGCGTATCAGCGGCTTGATCTACGAGGAAACCCGTGGAGTTCTCAAGATCTTCCTGGAGAACGTCATTCGCGACGCCGTGACCTATACCGAGCATGCTAGGAGGAAGACCGTGACCGCCATGGATGTGGTTTACGCACTCAAGAGGCAGGGTAGGACTTGTATGGATTTTGGCGGTTAGATGAGTTTAGGGTTTTGGGGCTTGGGTTCTGTTGTAATCTGTAATTGTGCTATCAGTTAATTACGTTCTCAGGTGGAATCTCGACACAGCCTCATTGCAGTCTTATATAATATAGGGATAATGGTTTAAATGGCCCTCAAGTGATAACAAATCTTTCAATGTGGCACTTGTACCTTCAAAACCTTCTGTTTTAGCACCCCCAAAGCTTCATTCTCCATTAAAGTAGGACATGCCATTAATGTAGTTAAGAATGAATTAATATAGTTTTCATCAATTTGTACATCTACTTGAACATAAAACTTAACCATGTCAAAATTGTTCCATGATAGGAAGCATTGGATGGTGATAATTATGGAAGGATACTAAAGTTTATTAGTACATATATGTTATGTTTAGCAGTGATGACGCTCGAAATTTAAGATTTTTTTTTGAAAGAGAAAAAATTGGCTATATATAACTCCTTAGCCTAAGTGTTGATTATTAATCAATTAAAGATTTTACTTAAAAAGGGTGATTTTGATAAAAAAAAATAAATGTTGAGGATTAAAGTATTTCGAAAAAGGAATATGAGCAAAAATAATTATTCAAAAAATCGATACAGGCAAATTTTTACATTATGCCCAAATAAATCAAATAATCTATTCTCATAAGTAATGTTGCATTTTATGTACCAAACCCCTCAGACAATTAATACTCAATGACTTGATCGAAACTATTTTAATAATTTATTTGACAAAATTCATTGTTCAATCATGGAAATAAAACCATCCGAGTGTTTACCCCATTTTTATTTATACAGTGGAAAGGTCGTATATTCATATACATGTTTAAATAGTTGTTAAAATAGAAGGGTAAACTACACATTTAGTAACCCAACTACTATTTTTATTCTATTGGGTCGCTTAACTCTTTTTTATTTCTAAATCATATTAAACATGGTTTCATTTTTATCATATTTTATTAAAAAAACTAATAGTGTTGTTGACTTGTTACCATAAGATAATTTTATATCATCATTAAATATTTTTTTCAAAAATATCACATTAACAATTTTATTAAATTTTAATGACAAGTGACCAAAATATAATGTTGGATATATTTTTAAAATAAAAAATAATTAAATAACTAAAATAGAACAAAATTAATGATTGAAATATTAAACGTGTTTATCGACTATAGACGTCACGTGGGTAAGGTGCGCCCCCTACAACGCGTCTTGTTAAAAGTGTAAAAAATTCGGATGCTAATTTTGTAAATATTTTTAAATTGGTGCCTAATATGTAATTAGTTTCTGTTAGGGTGATATTTATGTAAAAACTCTAACTTTATCTATTTATTTTTTTGTGATATTATTTTTAACAACAGTTAATAATGTTTATTAACTTTTAAAATTAATTGTTTAAAAATATTAAAATAAACTTTTAATTACAATGGATATATTAAATGAATTATTATTATTTAAAAAATAAATAAAAATGTAATAAAAATGAATTAAAAATGAATAAAATTCAATAAAAATATAATATAAAGCTAATAAATATCACCTCTTTATTTAAAATATTCTTTCTAATATTAATTTTAAAAAATATAAAATATAAAATAAATATTAAATTTTAATTTTATTAAAAATGAATAAACATTATTAAATGATGTTAAAAATAATAATTAATGAATAATAATTCATTTGATCCCTCAATTGTAATTAAAAGTTTATTTTAGTCAAGTTTATGATTGTTAAACAGACGTAGGTTTGGAAAGCTACAGGAATCGAATAAAAATTCGATCGTACAAAGTCAATAACTCAAAATTGTCTAACTGCTGTCTAAATATTAACTCAATTGTACCAAAAATAAACATCCGATCAAAGGGTTGATCTTTTCTGCTCAATCTTCACAAAAATTGTTTTGTCTCATCATTTTCTCCCGTGTATGAGCTCTTTTCTTTTTCAATTCTTTTCTGTTGAATATAGTTGTCCACATGCACACAGAAAAATCAAAAGTAGAGAGATTTTTATTGTAAAAGTCAATTGCAATTAAAAGTTTATTTTAATATTTTTTATATTTTTAAACAATTAATTTTAAAATTCAATAAATTTTCAAAAATATATGAAATTTATAATTTTTAAATTATAAAATATTTATTATCATCATCATTTTGTAAAAGAAATACTATTTATAAAACTTTTATAAAATTATTCATATTTTAAAATACTTTAAATATTTTTTTGTAAATTATTTTATAACTCGACAAATTTTGATTTTTGCATGAAATTACACAATACGTATATTCTTTTGCATGAATGTTATAAAAAGAAAGGAGCTCATACGCGGGAGAAAATGGTGAGACAAAACATTTTTTGTGAAGATTGAGCAGCAAAGATCAACTCTTTGATCGGATGTTTATTCGTGGTACAATTGAGTTGATATTTAGACAGCAGTTAGACAATTTTGAGTTATTGACTTTGTACAATCGAATTTTTATTCGATTCCTTAGCTTTTCATACCTACAACTGTTTAACAATCATAAACTTGACTATATGTCTTGAGAATAGAGTATTTTAAAATTATTTTTAAAAAATATAACAAAATATTAAAATAAACTTTTAATTACAATTGAGGGATCAAATAAATTATTATTCAATAATTATTATTTTTTAACAACAATTATAATGTTTATTAATTTTTAATAAAATTAAAATTTAATATTTATTTTATATTTTTTAAAATTAATATTAGAAAGAATATTTTAAATAAAGATGTGATATTTTTTTTAACTTTATATTATATTTTTATTGCATTTTATTTATTTTTATTGTATTTTTATTTATTTTTAAAAAAATAAATAATAATTCATTTGATCTCTCAATTGTAATTAAAAATTTATTTTAAATTTTTTTATATTTTTAAATAATTAATTTTAAAAGTCAATAAACAATATTAACGGTGTTAAAAATAATATCACAAAAATAAAGTTGGTGTTTTTAAACCTATATCAGCTTAACATAAATTAATTACATATTAAACATCAGTTTAAAAATATTTACAAAATTAACACCCAAATTTTTTACACTTTTAACAAGGAGCGTTGCAGAGGACGTGTCTTACCCCACGTAACGTAAAACGTGATGCAAGAAACGTGCCTTTCTACAAAGAATATTAGATCCAAAAATATAATTTGAATAGTGTATGACAGAGAAATAAAAACGCATAGAATGATCTATCGGGAAAATCGTCAACACATCTGTCGTGAGAAATATTTCCAGTTAAAAAAACATGGGTTGTGTGTGTCAAATCTATTCAAAGCATCTTAACCCAAAAAAGGACACGTGTGCTTCATGCACAAAGATTATTATGTAGTAGCTGCTGAGTAGGTACACCGGGGAATTTTTGTGGAGAGAGGTGTTCAATTTTAACTTAGTTAATTGATTGAAATGAATTAGTTTAGTTAAACAATTGACTATCGAAATTAATTCGGTTAAAGAATTGTTAATATTTTTTTAAAAAAAAAATCGATTAACAATTAATTAATTAAGTGAAAATATTTAATATATTATATATTAAATATATATTTTAAACTCAAATTCATTAGAATTAAGTTCAATTATTCTTTAAAGCAAACACATTTGACGTTGTTCGAGCTCATCTTTGATCACTCGTATTCCTTTAGTTCATGGATTCTAGATTTACTAAATGCGTCTCCTTGCCTTTCCTTTTCCTTCCTATCCCCTCTAAATAAAATTAAAATTAGATTTAAAATTTATAAAAAAATTATTCTTTAATCACTCTAAACACATTAAATTATCATTACATGATTAAATTTAATTCAAATAAAAGTACCTTATAACATTCTAACATCTCTTTCTTAATTAATTTCGTCATTTTATTTGTAACTCGATTATCATCTTAATAAATTAATTTACGCTTGCTCTTTATAAATTATTTCATCAGTATCGTAACATATTGTATTATCGTTAATTTCAAAATCAAACAATTTGATAAAATATGTATCATAACAATTATTAAAACTTAAAATCATTTTCTTATATTTTAATATAAAATTAATGTCTCGACTCTCGATCTCTATCAAAGATGTAAGACATGTATGAAAATTTAGTACTCGTCAAGTGAAGGGTATCATCAAAACAGACATCGCAAAATAATTGAATATTCTAAGTACTACTTTTAAGAGAAATTGGAAGGTGAGGGCAATAGAGTAACGATGCAGTGGCGAAATTTACATATGAATTGACTTTGGACTTATATTTTCAAAGAATCACATATATATTTGTTGAAAAATTCAGGTTCCAGTAAATTTAGCTTATAGAGTGGACTTTGAATTTATGGTGAAAAATGGATTCATTTCGATAAAAAATAGTATAATTATTTTTTATATATTTAGAGTTAATTATAATTATATATCTCTATATACTTTTTCAATTAAGTATATATATTTAATCTTAACTGAAGTTATATAGTATTTTTTATTATTTTAAGTTTAATTCGATTGCCATATTATTGATATAATATATAAGAGAATATAAAATCGAGTATACTTGAGTGTTTAATATATACTTTATTTATGGGTAAGAAAGTAATTTGAATAATATGTACATTGTATCAAATTGTACCAAAATGAAACCAAAACTAAATATTAAGTATGATTTTGAAATAAAAAATAATTTTTTTTAAAGGAAATAGCGATCATTCATTAATTAGATACCGATAACATCAAGGATTATATCGTTTTTAATACAATCGGGTTCATCCACATAAAACCAAAAGGGGATGTCTCTCGACAAAGCCCACTATGCAAGTGAGTGCGCTACACGGTTAGCCATCCGATTAATATAGCGGACTTTGAAACTAGGGTGGCTTGCGACGAAATTACGAGTCACATTAGAACCAAACCAATCACCGAAAGGTCTTCTTGAGGGCTTGAAATTCGGTTGACAATGGATATTGCATCCCCTTCGATAATCACTTGATCCCACCCATGATACTTCGCCATTAGAATGACTTAACGTAAAAGCCATA